GGGGGGGGGAGGGGAGAAGAGAGAGATTATATGAGCGAGATTATGCAATATAGTGTCCTTAACCCCATTAAATGCAGGTTACCTATCATCCTCCTCAATAATATCTTTGAGCGGACCCAGCACGACCTCAAAAAGATCTTTGGTAACAGAGAATGCCTGCACTGCTGTTAAAGCGACCACTTTGAGTTTTGGAGTTTTTCCAGGCAGGAGAACCCAGTCACCAAACGACTTTGGTCTCCCCTCGCCGCTGCCCTCCTCTCCCTTGCCATCCGCGATAACCATCTTCGTGGGGCGCCCCTTTCCATTCTCAAAGACGTTAACCTCACCCTTCGACACAATGTATAATGTCTCTGCTTCTTTCTGTTAAAATTCAACCACAGAAACGTCAGACGAGCCCAATTAACACTTCTCAAACCAGTACCTCTGGCGAATGGCTACAAGGCTTCCATTCTTCTTCATCTGGGAGTTCAAACGAGAACTTATCTAGAAGAACTGAACTGGTAAGGCCGTACTCACATCGCGACTTTCCTGGACACATCCAACCATGATTGCAGTCAGACTCATCCCAAAAGGTCCTCGTGTGAATATGCCCTAAAGCATTCATGATACTACCGTTCTCCCCCGAACATAAGGCATGTGTGTTGTATTTGGGTTTACAAAAGAAACGGATGATTCAAATACAAACGCATACACGGGCTGTTCGAATAGAACGCACAGGCATTGTATTCGAATAGAAAACATGTGCGTTGTATTCGAAAATAACTTTAAATAAGGGCTGTTCAAATAGAACGCACATGCGCTGTATTCGTTGTATTCGTTTACAACGCATATGCGTTATGTTTGGGGAAAGACAGTAGTTCAACTTTCAGAAATTGTGAGAAGGGAGGAAGTACCCCAAATGGTGGCTCCAAGCAAGAAGAGGCACTACCCACCGTGTCGATAATGACGGCACCTGCAGCAAATGCTGTGTCTACAAGAATATCTGACACTTTCTGCAGCTGAGATAAAGTGAGAGCATGAAACAGATCAATACTCCTCAGCGACTTCACCAATAACCGCCGGCTCATCTTCGCCCTGTGGACGCTCCTGAATGCTGCTCCCTCCAGAGCCCACAGTATCCCATCTGTCACGGCTCTCACTGTGGCCTCTCGTGGTTTATTATATCTGGGCGGAAAAGGGACAAGCACACACAGAAGTAACATGTTTCAACAGCTCCAGTACTGATAATTCCCAGTCTGAGGACAAACGACGAGGGCACACTGTGTGGGCTCTCCTGAGCCATTTTGCCAGAGCTTTGGCAGAATCTATGTGTCAGTACTTCTCAGATTCACAGTCTTAGGACATACTACGAGGAGCCCTTGAGGACATGCTATGTATATGTGCCGGCCTGCTCCAGGTTAAATTCAGAGGCGGGCAGAGGCCCACAGAGGACGAAGGAAGTGTCCCATGTACTGGTGGTTTAAGACATTTCGCCACAGCTTTGGCACAGTCTATGCAAATGTCTTAAACCACTAGTACACGGCCCCAGCCTTGCAGTCCGAAACTTGTCGCCACAAGAAAACGAGTCCGAACGTCAAACACTGGGCCTTCCATTGATAAATTGGATCGGCGGTCGCGTTTTCGTTTCGGCCTTCCAGAATCCAAGGTGTCAGGTCCGCGGCCCAGGTGCCCATGTATTGGTGCTTTAACAAATCTCACGACAATGAGGACATACTGCTGCTTTCTTATTTTCACTTTTTTCAAAAGGGGGTAGCCGGGTAGCCCCTCATTTTCGCTGTCTTGCTCTGACTCAATCAGGATTCAAGCTCGTGTTCTGTTAAGTACCAGTTAAATGTAGATACAGGGCCTCGCCACACCACCCACCAAAACAGAAAATCACTGGCGAGTTCTCACCACCGTGAAAAGCTCACCAATGCTTGGGGTTGCTGCAAAGTTCACCAAAACACGAGTTTGGTGAGTGGTGTGGCGAGGCCCAGAGAGATGATTAGCATGGCAACGAAGACATGCATAATAGAGAAATGAAAGGAGAGAGGACAGAAGGAAATAAAAGGAAGAAAAAGAAGAAAAGGAAGAAAAGAAGGGAAACAAAGAAAGAAGAAGAAAAAGAAAAATATGTGCCGACATGCAGTGCAGCCAAAAAAAAGTATAAATCGGATTGCGTAATTTTCAAACTCCCCCCTTCCCCTAGCAACCCCTCCAAACCCTTCGTTTGGTTTCCACCAGTCTACACTGCTCGGGACTACAAAACCGGTGGTATATGGACCTCAAAGTCGTCCCAATACCTTGAATCAGCTCAATCGAAATGTTGGTTTGGTGAGCGGGGGTGCGGCGTGTGCAGGCAGCATTGGGGCGGAGGTGGAGCTAAAAAACATGCTGCAAATAACAACAAAATGGAACAAATAATAATAATAAAAACAAAACATTGATGTTGATTAAACATTAACGATAAACAAGTCTGACCTGGTGCGGCTTTGCTCGAGGCAGAGCAGGGACAGCTGGACATGGCAGGAAGTCACCGACAGAGTGCAGGGATGGGTCATGCACATACAGAATTATGTGCGCAATCAGACAAGCGCCCACTCAAAACTCAGAGATATGGTAACTAGGAACACAGTTCAGATACAATCTCACTTCAATAGCTATGGCGCATCAGCGCCTGTACAAGTCTCTGTTCGTCACTCACTCAACGCTACTGTTCACACACAGGATCACCCTGGATATCCCACATGCATCACACTGTACCTTCACGCACTCACACACGCTACACTCTTCTATCAGCTATGGCGGCTATGGCCGCTGCTACCCCTATTGCTATGGCTAAGCTCTCCTTCTCGCCCACTTCGTCTTCGGGCTCACTGCAGACCACCTCGCACAAGTCCTTGTGGCATGGCTTACACAGGAATGAATGAATGGCTGGCGCTGCCTCTTGATTTATACTTCTGTAGCTCGTTGGTCTGCCCCTTTTCCCATGCCCCTGGTGCACACAGTCCCACACGGTACTTGCTTGACTGGACTGTGACTGACTGGGACCGGTACCGCTGACTGCATGGGTTTGCACTGCCAACTCGATGCAGTCGCACCGCCGACGTACCGCAGTTGGCTCACCACTTGCCCACTTGCCTCTGTCTAAACGTGAGCAAGTTCAAAAGGCCACTACTGGGACCTTCTGGAAGGCTGGAGACTTGGCCTTTCGAACACTGTAGCAGCTACGACCTTGACCTTTCAGGATTGTAGCAGCCACGACCTTGACTTCTCAGGACACCTACAGCTACGAGCTCTAGGCCTCACTAAGACCTCTATCCAATAGGTCTACAAATCAAACCCCTACCACCTACGGACCTACGACAGCCTACCGACTGTTGTGAATACACAGGTCACGGGTTCAACTCTCGGGGTCGACACAGATACTGTACACGGGCAAGGTAAGGACTAGGGATCGAACCCTGGGATCTGCATTCGCTACTGCTAACAGGTGAATACCGTTTCACTCCCGCCGACCTAAATTCGAGGTCCTCCGAGAATAACTCAGTCCAAGGCAGGACCTTTACCTTTCCTATCTCTCTCTCGTAGGCCCTAACTATGTCGGGAGCTGTTTCTAGAAGTTCTGTCCTAGTAAACCAGTGGTCGTCCTCTGGTTCTTGATAAGCAAACCGGACCTTATATTGTTTCTGTGGACGACCTCTACCTCCTGTTCTAAACACATCTTCACCTACGATGCCGTCAATGTCGTACCTTCCGTCCATGTCTGGCGGAATCATGGATCTTCTAGATGGAAACTGTTGACTTGTGACACACGGCAACAACTTTGATGCATGAAACACAGGGTAGGTGTGGAGGTGCGCTGTGATCTCTACTGTGTAGGACGGCCCATCTTCTCCGCCCTTGACTTCTAGAACTGGCCATGGTCCCCTGTACGCTGGCAGTAACTTCTGCGAGATGTTTTCCTCAGGAGCAAACTCTTTGGACTTGACCCAGACTAAGTTGCCTACTTGGAACTGCGATGGGCGACGGTGCTTGTTGGCTTGCTCTATCATTCTATGCTGGGCCTTCTTGAGGTTCTTGACGAATGTAGCTAGCTCTTTCTCGTGTTGTATCGCAAACTCCCTGGTACCGGGCGGTAGCCTGTGAATCTGGTCCCGATTAAGTCCCTCAAACGGTCTGCGCGGTCTGAAAGACTTATGTAACTCGTTGGGAGTGCGACAAGTGGACAGATGCACGCTATTGTTATACGCACTGGCTACCTTGGGCAACATCTCGTCCCAATTGACTTGATCGGGTCTAATGTACATGCGCAGAACTTGCTGCATGATCTTCTTCATGTGCTCAGTTTGACCGTTAGTCTTTGGATGATGGCCAGATGGCATCAGCAACTTTGACCCATAAACTTTCATCAGTTCCTGCCAGTTTTGGCTAGTGAATCGGGTGTATCTATCGCTAACTATGGATAACGGAATCCCGTGATCACTAATCCAATAGTCAGAAAAACTTTTGAATTACTAACTCGGTGCGTGCCTCCTGTGCATATGCCTGTCTAACTTTCTCCTGTAGGTCACTCCCTATATCCAGATAGTGAACTATGGCTCCAAAGTAGTCTGATCTTCTACTCAGAGCGTCCGCAACTACATTTTACTTGCCTTTAACAGGCTTGAGCTCAAAGTCATACTGGTCTATTTCGGCGGCCCACCTAGTCAACTTAGGTGTCATTTTGGCCTGTGTCTTCAGCCATCTAAGCGTTTCGTTGTCTGAATACACCTTGAAGTGCCTCCCAAGCAGGTAATGCTTCCAGTGCTCTAAGGCCTGGCTGAGAGCGTATAGTTCTCTCTCATAAGTCGAGGTGGCTACCTTTTCTGAGGGCATCCTCGCTAACATGAACTCTACGGGTTTGTAGCCATTGCTGTCGTCTTGCTGTAACACGGCGCCTATACCATACTGACTCGCGTCCGTGGTGACGACAAATGGCAAGGACGGATCTGCTACTTTGAGGACCGGATACTCTATCAATGTGCGTTTTAACTTCTTCAGTGCGGACATACAGTCTTTATCCCACTACCAGATTGCCTCTTTCTTGAGCAACCTGCGAAGAGGAGCGGCTAAAATTGAGAAGTTCCTCACGAACTTCCTATAGTAGTTAGCTAGGCCTAGTAACGACCGCAACTCAATTAATGTGCGGGGTGTTGGCCAATCTCTAATCGCCGCTATCTTGTTGTCCTCAGGCTTAATGCCATCTCCGTTTAAGACGTGGCCCAAGTACAAGACTCGTGTCTTGGCCCACTCACACTTCTTCGCATTGATCTTGAAGTTAGCCTCTCTCAACTTCTCCAAGACATGCCTCAAATGACCTTGATGCTCTTGGAGGGTCTTACTGAATACTAATATATCATCTAGGTAAACGACAACAAATCTATCTAACCATGACCTAAACAAATCGTTCATACAGCGCTGGAACGTGGCAAGCGCATTGGTTAGTCCAAAGGGCATCACTATAAACTCATAGTGCCCATATCTAGTCCGGAACGCAGTCTTGTACGGGTCATCAGGATGGACTTCTATCTGATGATATCCGGACTTCAGGTCGATCTTTGAAAAATATCTGCAACCCTGCACCCGATCTAAAAGATTGTCTATCCTGGGCAGTGGTTCAACGTTCTTCACTGTGATCGCATTTAGACTCCTATAGTCTCTGCACATCAGTAACTCTCCTTCCTTTTGGGGGACAAATAGGACTGGTGCTCCAAAAGGATATGAACTGGGCCTAATCCAGCCCTTTTCGAGGAGCTCGTCCAACTGCTTACGCAACTCCTTCAACTCCCTAGGGGACATCCTGTAGACTGCTCCTTTAGGAGTTCTACTGTCAGGCTCTATCTCTATACGGTGCTGGATCGGCCGCGGCACTACTCCTGACGGCGGCTCTGCAAGATCTTTGAACTCTTCCAGCAGCTTGGCAATAGCTGGGTCTATGGGTGTGTCTTCCTTAGGCTCAGTGACAGGCCTCACATAGGCTACAAAGACCTGCTCCTCTAACTGCTCCTTTCTCACTAATCACCTGACGGACTAGGGAGCCTACACTCATGCTCTCTCAAATGGAGTGTGGCCCCTGCTCCCTCTCCCTAGTCCATGCCTAGGACTATATCAAAAGGAAGGTCATCCTGCACGAGGTGAGTCAG